CAGCACACCACTAAAAGCTAGAAAAAAGATTCTTCCCTATAGGTTTCAGAGGGAACATGGGCCTGCTAACACCTTAGTTTTAAATTTTCATCATACAAAACTGTGAGACAATAAATTTTTGTCTTTTTGAACCACCCAGTTTGTGGTACTTTGCTATGGCAACCCTAGGTAACTGATACACATTCTTTCATGCATTTATTCATATGCTAATCCACAAACATGTTGCCTTCTCTTCACCTCCATCTTCTCATTAGCTTATTCCTTTCAGTACACCTCCTCTTCCCTTCCAATGCAAGAAGCAGCATCATTGCTAGCCATCTTGAGGTGTTTGAACACCTGGATATTTTGGGTCACAAAGCAGTTGATATGGTTTGGCCCTGTGTTCCCACCCAAATCTCATGTTGAATTGTACTCCCATAATCCCACATGTTGTGGGAGGGACCTGGTGGGAGATATTTGAATCATGGGGGTGGTTCCCCCGTACTGTTCTTGTGGTAGCGAATAAGTCTCACGAGATCTGATGGTTTTATCAGGGGTTTCCACTTTTGTGTCTTCCTCATTTTCTCTTGCTGCCCCATGCAAGAAGTTCCTTTCACCTCCCACTGTCAGGCCGCTGAGCCAAAGCCTGCACATATATATCCAGATGGCCTGAAGCAACTGAAGAATCACAAAAGAAGTGAAAATTGCCGGTTCCTGCCTTAACTGATGACATTACCTTGTGAAATTCCTTCTCCTGGCTCAGAAGCTCCCCCACCCAGCACCTTGTGAGCCCCGCCTCTGCCCACAAGAGAACAACCTCCTGTGACTGTAATTTTCCACTACTACCCAAATCCTATGAAACTGCCCCACCCCATCTCCCTTTGCTGACTCTCTTTTCAGACTCAGCCCACCTGCACCCAGGAGATTAAAAAGCTTTATTGCTCATACAAAGTCTGTTGGTGGTCTCTTCACACAGATGCACGTGACATTTGGTCCAGAAACGAATTTTCCCCTGCCCGGGACTGGCAAACTGACTTTACTCCCATGCCCCAAGTCAGGAAGCTAAAACACCTCTTGTCTGGAAAGATACTTTCGCTGGATACGTGGAAGCCTTTCCCACAGGGTCTGAGAAGGCCATTGTGGTCCTTTCTTCCCTTCTGTCAGACATAATTCACTTTCTTGCTCAGCCCCAACTTCGTCCCAGACAGCAGCCCCTTAGGTGACTATCTTCCAGTCCTCCAGCAGGCTAGACAGGAATTTCGCCAGGCTGCTAATCTTCTCTTGCCTACTCCAGATTCCCAGGCATATAAAGACACCCTAGCTGGACAACCAGTTCTCATTAAGAATCTGACCCTTCAAACTCTACAATCTCAATGGACTGGACCATACTTAGTCATCTATAATACCCCAACTGCCGTTTGCCTGCAGGACGCTCCCCATTGGGTTCACCATTCCAGAATAAAGCTGTGTCCGTCAGCCAGCCAGTCTGATATCTCCTCTTCCTCCTAGAAGTTGCAAGTACTCACTCCTACTTCCCTTAAACTCACCCACATTTCTAAAGAACAGTAGTAAGCCTTATGAACCTAATACATCCTTTCCCTTTGTTAGGTCTATTCATCCTTACCCTACTCTGCAACAGGGCTTTACGCAGTCACCCCCACTACTTAGACTGCATCCTAAAAACTTTTCATCCCTGCTATCTTGTGTCTAGTAATACTGTTATTCTTTGTTCTTACCTATCCATAAGTGCCCTGCCCTTGTCTACACTACTGGCTTATATTTTTTCTCCAAACCATCATAGCTGGCCCTGGTCTTATCCCCTAACCACTACTCTTAACTCCCCCTTAGAGTGGATAAATGACCTTTGCTGAAAAAACACACTGCAATTCTTTCACCCACTTTACATTTCCAGTTTTGCCTTACACAAGGTCTCTTCTTCCTCTGTGGCTCCTCCACCTACGTGTGTCTACCTGTTAATTAGACAGGCACATGTACACTAGTTTTCCTTACCCCCAAAAATCAATTTGCAAACATGACCAAACAGCTTTCCATTCTTTACCAACACTTTATCACTATCTTGTTTTGTTTTTCTTATTATTAATATAATAAGACAGGAATAGGCCTTGATTTACTGCTGAAAAAGGAGGACTCTGTATATTTTTAAATGAAGAATGTTGTTTTTACCTAAATCAACCTGGTCTGGTATATGACAACATAAAAAAACTCAAGGATAGAGCTCAAAAACTCACCAACCAAGCAAGTAATCATGCCGAACCCCCTTGGGCACTCTCTTAATTGGATGTCCTGGGTCCTCCCAATTCTTAGTCCTTTAATACCTGTTTTTCTCCTTCTCTTATTAGGACCTTGTGTCTTCCCTTTAGTTTCTCAATTGATACAAAACCATATCCAGGCCATCACTGATCATTCTACATGGCAAATGCTCCTTCTAACAACCCCACAATATCACCCCTTACCACAAAATCTTCCTTCCGCTTAATCTCTCCCACTGTAGTTTCCCATGCTGCCACCAATCCCACTTGAAGCAGCCCTCAGAAACACCACCCATTGTCTCTTCATACCACCCCCAAAAATTTTCGCAGCCCCAACACTTCACCACTGTCTTGTTTTGCTTTTCTTACCAATATAAGAGGACAGGAATGTCAGACCTATGAGCCCAAGCCTGCACATATACATCCAGATGGCCTGAAGCAACTGAAGAATCACAAAACAAGTGAAAATGACTGGTTCCTGCCTTAACTGATGACATTACCTTGTGAAATTCCTTCTCCTGGTTCAGAAGCTCTCCCACTGAGGACCTTGTGACCCCTGTCCCTGCCCGCCAGAGAATAACCCCCTTTGACTGTAATTTTCCACTACCTGCCCAAATCCTATAAAACTACCCCACCCCTAACTCCCTTTGCTGACTCTTTTTGGACTCAGCCCACCTGCACCCAGGTGATTAAAAAGATTTATTACTCACACAAAGCCTGTTGAAATTCTTTTCACATAGACATGCATGACATGATTCTGAGGCCTCCCAGCCATGTGGAACTGTAAGTCCAATGAAATCTCTTTTGCTTCCTAGTCTTGGGTATGTCTTTATCAGCAGCATAAAAATGGCCTAATACAGTAAATTGGTACCAATAGAGTGGGGTGTAGCTGAAAAGATACCTGAAAATGTAGAAGCGACTTTAGAATAGGGTAACAGGCAGTGGTTGGAACAGTTTGGAAGGCTCAGAAGAAGACAGGAAAGTGTGGGAAAGTTTGGTACTTCCTAGGGACTTGTTGAATGGCTTTGACCAAAACCCTGATAGTGACATGGAAAATAAGGTCCAGGCTGAGGTAGTTTCAGATGGAGATGAGGGACTTGCTGGAAACTGGAGCAAAGGTGACTGTTGTTATGTTTTAGCAAAGAGACTGGCAGTATTTTGCCCCTGCCCTAGAGATTTGTGGAACCTTGAATTTGAGAGAGATGATTTAGGGTATCTGATGGAAGAAATTTCTAAGCAGCAAAGCATTCAAGAGGTGACTTGGGTGCTATTAAAGACACTCAATTTTATAAGGGAAGCAGAGCATAAAAGTTTGGAAAATTTGCAGACTGACAATGTAAGAAAAACCCATTTTCTGGGAGAAATTCAAGCCAGCTGCAGAAATTTGCATAAGTGACTTGGAACTGAATGTTAATCACCAAGACAATGGGGAAAATGTCTCCAGGGCGTGTCAGAGGTTTTCACAGCAGGCCCTCCCATCACGGGTCAGGAGGCCTAGGAGGAAATGTTTAGCGGTCCAGGTCCAGGGTCCCAGTGCTGTGTGCAGCCTAGGGACTTAGTGGTCTGTGTCCCAGCTGCTCCAGCCGTGGCTGATGGAGCTTGGGCCATGGCTTCAGAGGGTGCAAGCCCCAAGTCTTGGCAGCTTCCACGTGGTGTTGAGCCTGCGAGTGCAGAGAAGTCAGGAATTGAGGTTTGGGAACCTCAGCCTAAATTTCAGAAGATGTGTGGAAAAGCCTGGATGCCCAGGCATAAGTACGCTGCAGGGGCGGGGCTCTCATGGAGAACCTCTGCTAGGGCAGTGCAGAGGGAAATGTGGAATCCGAGTCCCTCCTGGGTCCCTGCTGGTCACCCCCCTACCCGGAGGGGCCACAGAGTCCTTGATGGGGCACCACCTAATGGAGCTGAGAGAAAAGGGCCACCATCCTCCAGACCCCAAAATGTTAGATCCACTGACAGCTTGCACCATTCACCTGGAAAAGCTGCAGACAGTGCCAGCCCATGAAAGAAGCTGGGAGGGAAACTGTACCCTGCAAAGCCACAGGGGTGGAGCTGCCCAAGACCACGGGAACCCACCTCTTGCATCAGCGTGACCTGGATGTGAGACTTGAAGTCAAAAGAGATCATTTTGGAGCTTTAGAATTTGACTTCCCCCCTAGATTTTAGACTTTCATGGGACCTGTAACCCCCTTTATTTGGACAATTTCTCTCAGTTCGAATGGCTGTATTTACCCAATACCTGTACCCCCATTGTATCTAGGAAGTAACTAGCTTACTTTTGATTTTATAGGCTCATAGACAGAAGGGACTTGTCTTGTCTCAGATGAGACTTTGGACTGTGGACTTTTGGGTTAATGCTGAAATGAGTTAAGTCTTTGGAGACTGCTGGGAAGGCATGATTGTTTTTGAAATGTGAGGACATGAGACTTGGAGGGGCCAGGGTGGAATGATATAGTTTGCCTCTGTGTCGCCACCCAAATCTCATCTTGAATTGTACTCCCATAATTCCTATGTGTTGTGGGAGGGACCCAGTGGGAGATAATTTAAATCATGGGGGCAGTTTTCCCCATACTGTTCTTGTGGTAGTGAATAAGTCTCACAAGATCTGACAGTTTTATCAGGGGTTTCTGTTTTTGAATCTTCCTCATTTTCTCTTACTGCACCATGTAAGAAGTGCTTTTCACCTCCTACCATGATTTTGGGGCCTCCCCAGCCATGTGGAACTGTAAGTCCAATTAAACCTTTCTTTCCTCCCAGCCTCGGATATGTCTTTATCAGCAGTATGAAAATGGACTAATACAATAGTAAAGTTGGTAGGAATATTTAAGGTCATTTAATTTAAGTGTATTTTTACCTGTGGTGAAGCTGAACCTCAAATAGATTATGATAATTTATCATAATGTCCATGATAATTTTAAGACAAAAAGTTGTACTAGAACATGGAGCTCCAGACTACAGGTTGGTTTTTTGTTTGTTTGTTATTCACAATGTGCTGGTTTTACAGTAATTGTGAATTTAATCTAACTTTATTCACTTCAACAAAGGCAATTTATTATTTGTCTTACGTGTATTTATTTGATAGTATGCTTTTATTATAAATACATTCCCAAATGTATTTGGAAATAACTGCTTTGTCAGTACTTTTACACAGATTTCAAAGGATCGGACTAGATTAATATAACTATAATACCCTCCCTTCTGATCTTATTATTTTACCCTGAATGTTACATTCAGCATCAAATCACTTTTGGCAGTGCTTAGAATAAAGGGGGAGTATCTTCCATGAAATATTATTTCCACAATACATTTACCCAGGATCTTCATTCATTCATTTTCAGTTGTAATAATGCATTTTCTTTCCTTATCCTCAAGGAAACAGTCAAGTTGAAAAAGTCTCTATACTCTTCTCAAGGAGACAAATAGTTCTTCCCAATCACAATATTTACTATGGGAACACAAAATGTTTTAACTTCTATTGTCACATAAAAGGTTTCATATCCTTGCTCATCACCCAATACTGCCCTTGGTTTATGTTTATACTCTTCCTGAGGTGGAATAGAGGTTGGGGTGAGAGGGAGAAAGTCTCAAGCTTAATCCAAGAGGGTAGGCTATGTCACTAACTATGGGTATGAGTCAAGTCAGATATTCTAGATTTTGCCTTCCAAAGCATGGAGTTGCACTTCTCATCTTTTTTTCTCAGACAAAACTGATAAAGTGGTATTATGGAAAAGTTCATGCTTCAGGGAACATAACACAGCACATTTAATGCATCAGTTTTATTCATTCAGCAAACATTTATGGAAGGACAGCCATGTGCAAAGCACTATGCATGGTCCTGAGGAAACAATACTAGGAAAGCATAGATAGTTTACTTTGACATAGTTTTAAACTTGGTGAAAAAGACAAGAATTGAGTAAGAATTTAAAATGTGCTGAGTCAAATACAATTAGCGTGCTAAGAGGACTTAAAATGTGATCAGGGAGTGTGTTGGCAGCATGGCTGCTTTGGTGCAGAGAAACAGAAGGCTTCTCTGAGAAAATTGTGTCCAAGTAAAATTTCCTGGATGCACAGGACCCGAGTAAGCATCTAGAGTCTATTTGGGGAAGATTATCATATTAAATTATATAGGCCTGCTTTCAGTGAGAGTTAAGTTCCTCTTGCTCCACAAGGCAATACAAAATTTCAGAAAAAGTCTTTAATAAGGCTAAGACTGATGTTTAGAATGTTTTTGAAAACTAAGTTAAAAACGTCTTAATGCTGAAAATTTATTATAAACAATTAGGAACAACTCACACTATTATTCCTTCTTCGAAAATGGAAATAGCAATGAGAGAGTGCTTTTTACAATGATAGAGTTGTTTACTGTAGTCAGTGCTCAATGCAAATGATAAAATTGTGTGGTTGTTAGAATATTTGCTACAAAGGGGAAAATAAAAAATCTGAGGCAGCAGTTTCTTTTAATGTGGTAATAGCCTAGTCATAAAAGAACATCCTACTTCATTGTCATGAATATATGAATGATTCCCGTATTTTACCATGAAACTTCGTTGTCATGAATATATGAATGATTCCCATATTTTACCATGAATATTTTCACCATTTACAAGAAAACAGCTGCTACAACTAGAAGAATGATTTACTGCTAAATACATAACAATTTTCTTTTTAGGATTGCTTTCCAAAGTACCCCCATTTCACCCTTCACTTCATTCAGGTGTATGCATATTGATATAAGAGGGCATTTCCAGAATTTTCTGGATTAAGTAGAAGTAAATTCTTAAGTCCATAAGGTAAAGTTTCTGCTACGCTCAGAATTTGAGCATTTCATTGAATTTACTCCATCCCATTTTCAAAGAGTAAAACCCTTCTCCCACCCTCCAGAACATATCTTCAAGGTTAATGTTTAAGAATTAGTTAAGTCTAACCACCTCTTAAGAGATACGTAAGTAAATAGGCTAGTCACGATAACAAGGTTTCCAAGAGTAGACATAAAGGAATGTTAATGCATCTTTCATAATGGAAACAATAGCTTTATAATCTTAGACTTAAAGTAACTATGGTTACAAAGCCTTGTGCTGCTTTACCTTCACTTGATTCCTTTCACTGGAGATCCACCTCTGTCATCAGGAGAGAGTCTCCTTGTGCTAATGGCTCTCCGTTTGTCATCATGAGAATATAAACATTAAATACCTTATGAACTGAGGGTGTAAATTTCTTTATCTGCTTAAGAAATGTCTTTTCAAGAAGGAAGACTTAGTCAACAAAGAAGAAAGTGTTCTCAGTTTAAGCTAACTTTTCAAATAGAAAGCATTGGCTTTCTGTTGTACCTGAAGTGTTTTGTTATCAATGATTACCAGGCCAGCTCTTCAAGTCTTTGTAGCCATCTTCCTGATGTTGACTAACTACTTTAAAAAGAATCTTTGCAGATACTTAGGGTGAAGAGGTCAAGAAGAAGGTATTATCAGAAGAGAATACTCGATATAGGATGAATTGCTGATGACATCTTCTAAAAGAGCGTTAAAGGCATAGAAAATTGTTGGAACCATAACATTGGAAACAAAGCAGGACTCAAAATTATTTATATAACCTATTTTTTAAAATGATATAAAATACATAAAGAAAAGCACATGAAAATGTAAACAGTGGTTACTTCAGGGTGGAATTATGAATGATTCAGCATAATATACATGTATTACTTACATAATTTAAAAAATTAGGTTCTAGATAATGTATTTTAAACCACAGCCCCATGGCTTTGGAAATTACAAAAAGGACTTACTGTGTATCTGCAGAGGAGGTTGGTTAACAATATCAGGAGCTATTAAAGCACTAATTTTTTTACTTGGAGAAAAAGTAATGAAACATGAAAGCTACCTTCATCTATTAGAAGAATTGTCAAGTAGAGGATTGTCAAGACTAGAGGTTCTATGAAGACAGCACTTGTCTTAAGAAAGACATTTCTAGCAACAAAGGAACAGACTGATACTCAAGAATTATGGATGGCATTCAAGAAGAGGTGGGGTGGGGGGTGGATATCAGACATATGGTTATAAAAATGATTGCTGCACTCCGTGAGAACTAAAACTGAGGTTTTTTTGAAAGATCCCTTTCAACCTTGGATTCTATTATACATTGCCAACATATTTGCCCCACATTCTACAGGTCAGAGGTGTTGGTTTTTCTTTTCTTCTCTATTTCTAACCCACCTGACTCCCACCTTCTTCCTGTATTGCCAGAAGGTGCTGACTTTCTACGCAAAGAATTACTGGGGCAAGTTGCCCTTGAGAACAATGCTAAAGAGTGGCAAATTGCTCGTGATAAAGTCTCTGATTTAGGTAGAATCAGAAGTGACAGAAAATAGTGATTTGTTAAATTTACCACAATGTGTTAATTATGTACAATAAACGGTGGGGCTGGGCGCTTGACTTGGGGCTCGTGGGGGCTTGAGACAAATCACAGAGGATAAGATGGGTTCTGATTCCGACAATTCATCTAATCACACAGACATAACCCATGCTATCCGTTCCTTCCTCCATCCCCATTACTCTCTATACTATCTCACTCAGAAACGGTCAAAAACATTCTCTGAACAATCTTCCTAAACATCCAAGTCCCCTAGTCCAGGGTATTCTTTGGGTGGTCCCCAATGTGTGTGATACCCTTACCTCTCACTGACTGTGAGTAGGAAGCAAACATTTTTATAACACTATACTTTTAGGAAACAACCAAAGAGTCCTAGAAACTTTTCTTTCAAATACCCATGACCAATTATCTTCTAACAAAAAGAACTTCATAAAGATATTTAGAATTTTAGGCAACTTAGATATTTAGAAAACCTATTCTACTCAAACGTGTAAATACTAGAGGGATAATTCAGCTGTTTGGGTATGTTTCTTTGATAATATTAAAAATGTAGATTTCTTTTACTTTGATTCTGAAATACAAATACATGCCATAGACAGGAGAACTGTAACATCCAGGGCTTAGACCAGCTTTCTGCACTCGGCAATGAAGAGGAGATAAGGTAACGTATTTTCTTCAATCCATCACAAGGTTCATAGCTGAGACCCCTGTAATGAAAAACAGAATAACAAAAGGAAAACATAATAAATTTATTTAACCATAGTTCTACATGACACAGAAGCTGTCAGAAACGAAGAGCCAAACACGCAGGGAAACTGTGTATTTCATGAATAGTTGTGCAGAAGAAGTATGATTGGAGGACAAAAGTGTATGATCTAATGGTAATAAACTGGAAGGAACATAGCAAGGTCTGTCTGTCCAGATTCTTCTTAGCCTCTCTAAGAAGTGTGACACTTCTTCTCTTCGCATTCAGGGCAGAACACCTGTCACATTAGGGTCTTCAGGGGAGAAGGGAGGGAGGTCAGAGAGTAACTTCCTGCTTCTGTGATTTTTTCAGGTCCCTTCAACTTAAAATACTCAGTACACTAAGGTGCCACCTTTTGGGTTATTATGTTCTGAGCCCCAACATTAAGAATGTGAAATCTGTGTGCCATTATTATTGTTGTTAATGGTATTACTATTAACAGGTGGAAAACTTACATTCTGTAGTTCAGATTCAACTTACATTTATCATCTATATGTTCCAGATGATGGGCTTTTGCTTTCATTTAAAACACTATAACTTTGAGTGAGGAACTTTGTTCCTCTTTGTTCAGATGAATAAATGAAGTTCAAAAGATTAAGTGTGCTTGACTCACACAGCTGCCCAGAGGTAGAGCTGGGATGCAAACTAAGGTTTCCTGAGTCCAAGACTGAGGCAAATAATTTACAAAATGCCTTTACCTGATTCATATCTAATTCCCCAAACGACCTGTACTGCTTAATCATAATATGAAAATGTTCACATTAACCCATAAGGTAGATATAACACCATTATTCCCTTCCTGAGGCAGATGTGTTAAACTAGTGGCCAAGACCACTCAATTGGTACAGGACGCATATTGGATTCAAAGTCACGTTTCTGTGAAATTCTTCCTTCTGTTGTGAAGAAAAGCATTGTGAAGCATAATGGTGCTCAAGGAGAACAACAGATATTAACAGTGACAAGCCCTAAAAACCTCTGTTTGTCTGCAATGTCTTGGTCTTTACATAACACACATTATAATAATTATTTCTCAATACAGAAGCTCTTTCTTTGCTAACCATCTAATTCCTATGGGTGAGTTATATTTCAAATGATTCTATTGGTAGATTAGGGGAAAAAACTGTCAAAATTGAAGTCTTAAAATGGAGCTAGAAGATGTGGCCAAAACGGGTGAAAGAACAGGTGTCTGCCTTTATTCTACACTACTTCCGACTGGACTATGAAAGAGCAACACTCTTACTGGGGATATGTGCTAAAGAAAATTAAAAAAAACAAAGTCGAGTTGTTCAGTGAGTCTCATGAATATATGGAGACATGTTTGCTTGTCTTGAATTGAAAATTGAATTCTAGTCTTCTTAGACTGTGAGCTATATTTTAGAAGAAGAGGCCAACAAAAGCCTGCTTGTATTATCTAATCATTCTCTCTTTTGGGAACACTCTAATTTTGCTAAAACCAGGATCTCAATTTGGCCTAGCTATAAATTAAAAGAATACTACATGGTTATGTAACTCTGCTCAAAAGTTTATTTGCCCTTACATTAAAAAATAACTCAAGTTACTCTCAATGGATTCATTAAAAACCTGATTTTTCCACTTTATAGCTATTTTGCCTGACAGATGGGATCTGGTTTTTCCCTTATGCTGCATTTTTTGAACCAAGTATATATGGTGGGAGAGCAGCACATTCTTCCACCAACAAAAAAGCCACATTCATATTTCAATAAAATTGCATTATTTGGCATCTACTGTTCACATATGTTCATTTGGCTATTGCTAGTCCCAGTCAATGATAGCACAAGTGGAGTGGATATTTGAAGTTTAAACAAGGAGCTTTAAATTTTGTAAGAGAGAAGAGGCCTCCTGACAGGTAGATCAGTCTGTAATTCATTTTTAATGCAGTTGAGAATTCTATAAATCATTTGTTTTTCTCCCATTACATACTATCTCCTGTGCTATAGAAGCCTTAAAAGAAACTTTCTGTATAGTTTTGGGTAGGGTTTGAGGGGTAGGTAAGACTCTTTGAAGGAGCCTTTAAGGATGAATAACTTTGCCATGCAGGAAACATAAAGTATTGCAAGCAGAGAAAATGTATGGAGTTGTGATGAGTTCAGGTCTAGGTCAAGTTCTGCTTACGTAGCTGAGGGTACATAGTGAAGAGGTGTAGACACAATGGTAGAAAAGGTAGAATTTTTGCTATAAAGTGCCATTATCAAATGTTTTTGAGTGAAGAATGTATGCCCTATCACTGTGAATACTGAGAAATGGAGTATTACATTCCACAAAATGTGAAAAGAAAACTAGCAAAGAATGTCTATGTCATAGGTCTGAAGTTAACTGGACAGGCAACTAGGGACAACATGTATTTCAAAATATTGTTATGAAGCTAAGAATAAAAGTATGCAATACTATAGTCAGCTTAACAAAAAAAAAAATTTTTTTTTCCATTCTGATTTTTAAGAATTTGATTGGGGTTTGGGAGAGAACATGGTAGAGATGGAATCACTGTGAATGTTTTTTGGTTAAAGTTAAGGTCATTCAGAGATACTGTTTGTTTAACCACTGCTTATAATACATGTCAAAAGAAAACACTCAAAAGACAAAATGCACTCACAGGTTTTTTTTTAATGCATCAAAAATAAAGGTGGTTGAAACTATGACTACCTATGTATGTCTTGATTAGCAACTGGAGTATGAACTCATTCTAATTTGAATTCATCAAAATTTTATCACTTTCCAAAATTTACAGGTATAGATTTTCATCCTAGATGGTAGTGTTTTATAATTGCATGCATGCTATAGTTGAAAACGTGGCCTCTGCAACGAGGCAAACCTGAGTTCTGCTCCACTTAGGAGCCATATGATCTGAGCAAGTTATTAGATTCAACTGTTAAAAAGGAAAATCAGACACTTAATCATATGTACCAAATAGCTATAATGAAGATTAAGTAAAATGTTGTAAACATGCTTATTATACTGTCTGGTATACACTAATAACTTGATACAAGTTATTAGTCAATTATGTAATTATTATTACCACCCAAAGATCAATGCGCATAATCAGTTTGAGGAAAAATCTGTAAAAACAACTTTATCTATACACTGGAGCCAATTGATTCACTGCATTTTGCCTGATTAAATCATGAACAAAAGAGTAATAATATGAGCATATAAAATACTTTATTGCAGGGATGTCCAATCTTTTGGCTTAACTGGGCCATACTGGAAGAAGAAGAATTGTCTTGGGCCACACATAAAATACACTAACACTGATGATAGCTTATGAGAAAAAAAAAAATCACACAAAAAAACTCAATGTTTTAAGAAGGTTTATCAATTTGTGTTGGGCTGCATTCAAAGCTGTCCTGGGTCACGCATTGGTCAAGCTTGCTTTAGTGCTTAAGAAGTATTCTCTCACAAACAAATAATTTGGTTTTTGTACCAACCCTGTGAGTTAGAAAATATAAAATATTCTTATGGTTTACAAAGAAGAAGAAGAAAAAAGAAAAAGAAAAAAGTATCAAACAGCCAAAAGAAAAATACAATAAATTCATTCCAGAATAGATCAACAAGACAAAGGAAAAAGACTGGTTCTTTCAAATAACTAGGGTGGAAAAATATGATGTCAACTAGTGAATTGATATTGTCAAGTTAAATGAGGAGGATCTAATAAATATCAGATTTATTTAGCTTTTGTAAATAGCTGGCTATTAATTTCTCAAGTGTAGATGATTCACCCCAACAGTAGTGTTTCAGTTATAATTCTTTTTTTTTTTTTTCTTTTGAAACAGTGTCTTGCTCTGTTGCCAGGCTGGAGTGCAGTGGTGCGATCTCAGCTCACTGTAACCTCCGCCTCCTGGGTTCAAGAGATTTTCCTTCCTCAGCATCCCGAGCAGCTGGGATTACAGGCACACACCATCACACCCAGCTAATTTTTGTATTTTTAATAGAGACAGGGTTTCAGCATGTTGTCCAGGATGTTCTCTCTCTCCTGACCTCGTGATCTTCCCGCCTTTGCCTCCTAAAGTGCTGGGATTACAGGCATGAGCCACCGCTCACGGCCTCAGTTACAACTCTTAACACATACATTATCACAAAGAAAACATATTATAAAAACATCTATTTAAAATAAATGTCATAATATGACACACGTTTATTTTTAAAAAGTACATTATTGCATAAAGTTTTCATTTATTTCAAAAAATTATATGTATATAGATCAAAAAACAGATGCCATGTTTACCTTTCAATCAACAAACTATAATACAGACTTTGAATTAATAGTCCTCAAACTACGCAACTTGGGAAAAGGGTTCCATTGCTTAGTTGAATATGACCAATCTTTCTTCAAGTTTGCATTTATTAGATTTTCTTATTTAACATTTTCACCAATAAGAGTTTCTTTAAAAAAAAATTTGATGCCAAATAATTATTGAGTCTGGCAAAGTGAATGTCCAAGTAATATAAAATATATTGATGAAATTTCTCAGAAAAGTGATTGTATCTAACTAAAGAGTTAGGAAAATTTTGTGGCCCTATATGTGCATGTTTCAGATTTTTATATAATATGCATATAATATAGTTTCCTTAAGAAATATTGATTCCGGCTCATATATTAGTCAATATTTTAATAACTCATGTACTACCTTGAGTATAATGATATTCAGATGTTCTACCTCCTGATCAAGTTGGAGAAATACTGTTTTAGAAGGACACATATCCAGATTATTCATTTCTAGTTAATTGTCTTAAATTTCCTTGAATATGTCTTGATTGAGTAAGTAAAATATAAGCCAGCAAACTTGGTTAGTCAAATTTAAGCGGAATAAACTCATTAATATTTTATGGGGTTCCTATCACAAGAGTTCCTAAACTAATGAACAGCAACAACAACAAAATAAAGAGAATACAACTGTTCCTTATGGTTACAAATGAGGCACTCACCAATGATGCTTCTTAGAGGCT